CGAATTACAGTGCATGCAGTAACACACTTCTTGCGTTTTTTGTCCTTCTAAGGCATCTCGTTGCAGTTTGTTATTGTGTTTGGTAGCTGCTCTCGTTCCTTTCGACAGATTTATTAGAGCTGATCAGTGTCAGGTAATAAAGGAAAATAAAATGAGAAATGAGAAATAATGCCACAACTGATTCAAAGTGACGCGCCTTGGAGGAAACAGATCGCAGATCATTACGCCTGAGATGCTGCGCTGTCTCACTTTCATTTAGCCAGTGCTGAGACGTGAATCGTTGTGCATAGTGATTGAACAGAAGCACGTTTAATGAATGAAAACTGGGAGCACATCAAACTTAGTGTTTTTCCACCTTTTCCATAGCGAAGCGGTCTATAAATACGGCTCCTCAGCCAGGTGTACCCCAGAGTGATGAGAACCCATCGTTTTGTGATATGTCAGTCTGCACTCCGGCAACGACTCCGGGACAGATTTGGTTTGTTTAAAGGAATCGCAGAGTAGTTGGTAAAGAGAGAGCAGATGGAGGAGTAATGGCAGGCAGGTTTATTTCCCGTCTTTCATGAGGAGTTTGAAGCGTTGTTTGAATGCTGTTTATCCGGATGTTTCCTCTGTTTTGGAGGAGCAGAGTCCACAGAGGCTTCTTAAAGGGCTGCAGCGAGCCGAGCTGAAAGCTGCCGAGTGTTGTTTACTACATTACACAGAGTCCCTAGAGTCTGTGCTGGAAAACATCAGATGGTCTGGGACTCGCACCTTTGGTGGTGACAAGAGAATGAAACGATGATGCAGTGTTAAGAAGAAAGAGACAAAACCCATGTGTTTAAACAAAGGCTCTGAAAGTTTGCCGTGTCCCCGCTCATTCAAGCGATGTTTAGTTGAAAGCCTTTACGTTGACATAATGGTATACAAGCTATGTTTTCTATCCCCATACACCAACCCTACCCCACAGAACACTAAAGTAAGATAAAACATCATAGTAGGATTTATAAGCCGATTTCCTCATGGTGACCAAAAAATGCTATCCTCAAAAAAGATTCAAAGATTCAAAGTCTTTGTGGGTTTACCAGGCCGCACACACACATAAATAATTGTATGTTGGTATGTGTTTTATATGCAATACATTTTTATTCAAGGCTGCATTTATTTTATCAAAAAGATGTATATATTACATTTTAAATTTGTATGTATTGTCTTACAGTCCATTTGATTAATAACCTCGTAACCCATGGTAGGTCTGCCTTGAAATGTTTATACAGAATGGTTAAAAAACATTTTCTCTATGGAGAAAAAGAATGGGATTTTCTTTTCTTCTGAAACCAGACGGTGCTCAATTTATCATCACAAATGGCTTTTGTGCAGACGGATATCAATTACAATAGCTAAGATATGACAAGCAATCACGACGCTTTTCCACTGTGCTGCTCTCTCAGCTAATAGAAAACATTCCCAAATACACGCGCTCGTCCTTTATTTTGTCTTGCAGTCTTCGGGTGTACGTCTATGTGAATAGATATGACTGTATCTGTCTCTGAAGCCCTGTGCTGTGCTCTTATTAGTTATCATGCATGTCATGGAACTGCTATAATCAGCACCTAAGGACTGACACTGGGGTTCACGGGGCTCAGTTAATGCTCAGTCATGGCTTTGCTGTCAGTGTCAGGTAGAGGAATCGTTCGGCGGTGAAGACCGCTGCATTGCTTTGACATCTTCAGGTCATCAGAATTTGTCTTGTTTCTGCTGCTGTCAACTTTTCGTTGGCTCACCTTTTTGATTACTACTGTAATTCTTTTGTACTGTTACTTCAGTGCAGACATTGATCATTTTTCCATTTTTATGTGGCACTCTGTTTCGGATTCTCGCGATGGCTTTTAGCGGGATGAAAAGTCCACGTTTGATGGCGGGCAGATGAAAGCCGGACACTACACCTTCACCCAAACCCTTCATCAGAATCAAGCGTTCCTTCTCTCGCTCTCAGACTCTCTCTTTTCTCTTTGAAAAGCTGACTCATCAATAACAAATCGTTGCGACTGAATTAGTCATTTGTCTTTGATGTCACCGTGGTCACGGCGAGGCACTGTGTGCATACCAATCGGACACTATTGGCTTCTGTCCACCCTGCTGGCAAAAGCCAATTTTCTCTTTTTACTACAACAGCGTGCTGGGAGAAGGTCGTCATTATATGGTACTTGATGAAAGAAGTCGTCATTTAATTACACACATCTGAAAGGTCTCTAACTCTCTAAAGGACAGTGCGCCTAAAAGCTATTTACTTGTTTTTCTGTGATGTATTGAACATGATTGTTGTAAATTTTGCTATAGAGTTTGCCGTTGGGAATTTGGCCGTGGAGAAACGTCACACGTTTTTAATCAATAAAGTTGGATTTAAGAGTGAGTGTTGCACCTTTCTCAAATTTAAATTCATCAAATTTAATGAATTTTTGATTTGTGGTTGCACCTCCTTTTTTTGTTGGGAGAGCATCTCTTTTTTAAAAACATTTTGTATACCCTGTAAAATTTTGTTGAAATTACAGCAATGACTATATTTAGCAGAATATGCCACCCTTTACCAGCAAATGTTTTTGAATCTGTAGCTGTCATGCACATTTCAGACTATGTTCTAACTTTTCTTTCTTTCTTTCATTTTTCTTTTTAATAGAATCCCTGAGTTTTTTTTTACAGACTTGATGGCTTTTACAGGAACTGAGATCAAAAATATGGCCGTGCATTTTCCATTCTTATTCTTATGAAATGATCAGCTGCAGGAGGAGTGGAGCTCACATCTCTGTAATTGATAATTAGTGAAAGCGTGCGAGTTCAGGCTATGGTTGTTACCAGTCATAAATATTTTCTGCCAGCATTGTCAAAACCACTAATACAAAGCTATTGTATAACATGTTCATAATTTCTCTAGCTCTACTATTTTTACTGTGCTTTGTTAAGTTTGTGTTTTAAAATACAGTAAGTTCATTGCTCAGTTGGGTGTGGGATGAAACACATATTTATACACTCACCTAAAGGATTATTAGGATCACCTGTTCAATTTCTCAAAGAGTTTCTGTATATTGGGGGATACAGACATTAAACAGGCTGTAGGGGGAGGGGCTATGGGGGGAGGGGCATTATTTGGTTGCAGTTGATGAGAAACACTGATGGGGTGATGGGTCATGTAATAAGGTCATGTGACTTTTTGCTATAACATTCCAAATATTTGTATCAAACTCCAAAATGGCAGCATACGTGGACAAAGGCACTGGCCATGAGCAAAGTGTTTTTTTATTTTTCACGATTATGATATTTTAGACTGATTTTGTTTTAGAAAGTAGTTTTTTAAGGATAGTTTTACATGTTCGTGTTGATATTTTCAAAATAATCTTCTCACAACTTTGATTATCAGGCATTGAATGTTTGTATCCCGGGGGATACATTGCCCATATGTACTGGGCTGATCACTCACAGATATTCTCATGTTTTGAGGCCTGTTCTCTACAGATATTGAATGGGATAAAGGTTTTGGATGTGCCAGGATGGGCAGATATCCATCATGTGTCAGAAGTGCAAAGTGAGGCTTTGCCTGGTCACTGGACAAAATGCTCGCAACTGTTTTGTCAGCTTCCATTGCCCATAGAATATATCTGTTGTGGGGCACCACAGCGAAGATGGTAGAGTTAAAAAAACAAAACAGGAAAAAGGTGTTTTAAAAATCGGCACATGAACTGTTTAAAAAGTTATGAAATATTAAATGTATATCCTACATAGGCAATGCATCTTGGGAGAAAAAGTTCAGTTTTTTCCAATTTTTCTAATGTTGTATGGATAATATGAAAATTGTAGCTAATTAATTGTTCATTAAATGTTTTAAAAGTTGTCATATGAACTATAAAAAAAAAAAAAAAATTGCAAAATGTAACCCTAAATGGGCAATGTATCTCGGGAGATACAGAGTGTAACTTAGAAACTATAGGTCATATTTTGAAAAAAAATGCATGAACTCTGTCATTTTAGTCTAGATACATACAAAATAGCAGTGAATCATTTTTCCATCAAAATTATTTATGCTTGCCCCTTAAAGGGTTAATGCAATTACCTAATCAACCAATCACATGGCAGTTGCTTCAATGCATTTAGGGGTGTGGTCCTGTTCAAGACAATCTCCTGAACTCCAAACTGAATGTCAGAATGGGAAAGAAAGAGGTTTTAAGCAATTTTCTGCTCAGTTACTGCGATTTTAACACAAAAATCATTCAAAGAATGGTGTGAAAAAGGGAAAAACATCCACTATGCGGCAGTTGTGGGCGAAAATGTCTTGTTGATGCCAGAGGTCAAAAGGAGACTGATTCAAGCTGATAGAAGAGCAACTTTGTCTGAAATAACCACTCGTTACAACCGAGGTATGCAGCAAAGCATTTATGAAGCCACAACACGCACAACCTTGAAGCGGATGGGCTAAAACAGCAGAAGACCCCACCGGGTACCACTCATTTCCACTACAAATAGGAAAAAAAGGCCACAATTTGCAAGAGCTCACCAAAATTGAATAGTCGAAGACTGGAAAAATGTTGCCTGGTCTGATGAGTCTTGATTTCTGTTGAGACATTCAGATGGTAGAGTCAGATGAGAACATGGATTCATCATGCCTTGTTACCACTGTGCAGGCTGGTGGTGGTGGTGTAATGGTGTGGGGGGTTTTCTTAGCACACTTTAGGCCCCTTAGTGCCAATTGGGCATCATTTAACTGCTAAAACCTACCTCTAAAGAATGCAGAACACCTTGTTGAATCAAAGCCACGTAGACTTAAAGCAGTTCTGAAGGCGAAAAGGGGGTCAAACACAGTATTAGTATAGTGTTCATACTAATCCTTTAGGTGACTGTACTTTGATTCCATGATATGAAAAAGAACACAATGACTTCTAATGAAGTAAAGTGAAGGAACATGGCATGTTTCGTTACGTGTAACATTACAAATTAACATGATTCCCCTTGTATTTGCCGTGTCTTTGCAGGGTTTCCTGGTCAGAATGGCTTTCCTGGGCCCTGTGAACATAAGTACTGTGGTTTGGGGAAGCACTGTGTGGTTGATCATGAAACAGGTGAAGGAGAATGTCAGTGTCTGGATCGCTGCAAACCACATTACAAACCTGTGTGTGGATCTGACGGCAAACTCTACCAGAACCACTGTGAGCTTCACAAAGCTTCCTGTATGGCCCATCAGAGAATAACCATCATGCACAGCGAGGAATGCTTCTACAAAGGTATAGAACCATTATGATTTGTTACGGTATATTGTCCATCATTGTCCAGCTGCAGCTGCATGAGTACTTTTTATGTTAACTACACACTTTATATATATAAATGCATGCTTTTATTCAGCAAGGACACATTAAACTGATCAAAAGTGAAAGACATTTATAATGTACTGGTTTAGTTAAATATTAAGCAGTTTAGTGCTTTATTTGCTTGCAGCAATCATCTTTAATTGTTTAAAGATGCGATTTTGTAAATTCTGAAAATGGTGTGGAGTTTTAAGAACAGCACATCCTGATGTGTGCACTGTGCAGTGTGGCAAAGGGTTTGTTTTTGACAAATTTATTTTCCAAGAAAGAGAGAGGCTGGGTTGGTTTGCAAACTTGTGATTCTATGAAAGATTTCAAAACAATGCTGAAACTGTACATTCCCATCCCACAGTATATCATCTCTTTTTTGTAGAGTTTTGTCAAGTTCACTAAGGCCTGACAGTCCCAATGCAATACACCACCCTAACTACTTCATACTGTATATGTGCAGGAAAATTCTTCAAACTCTTCAGCTCTCCACTTCTACATTCTGGCCAAGAAATCAAAACTCTAAATGCCCTCTCAAATCAAAGAATTTGGCCATCAGACAATGCTCGGGCCAATCAATGTAAGTTTGGGGAGCCAGAGAGATGGATGGTTAGTGTAAAATAGATGATTGTCCTGCTGACAACACAATGTCGGATGGCAAAACCCTCTAAAGATTTTTTTTGTTTTGTTTGTCGTGCATTAACACGCAATTACAGGATATTTATCTAATTCGTTTTTGTTTTGTCTTTTTACTGTCAATTATGTTTGTGGTTTTAGAAAATTGGTTGGTTTGTTCTCCTGAGTTGAAAATTTGAAATATTAAACTGTAGAAAGTTGATAACTAGAGCGGTGATTGGATTGGATTGGATAATTAGGCCTTCTAATTATCAGAATTGTATCAAATAGGCCCTAATGGTTTGCAAAATGGCAGGTGCAGTCACAGCATCATTTCTGTGCTTATTTTCAGGAGATTTAAGAGCTTTGTGGGAAAATGTAGCCTGACTTCGTCTTACTCATATTCTAGTCAGAATGTGAGTCTGATAGTGCTCCATAGAGCTTTGATTATTGTATAAAGCCCGCCCTGGCAATTTGGTTGGCCCGATGATTTCGGAACCGATCATAATAACTCCTCAATGGATCGAGTCCAGACCGAACTTCCCGACCAAAAAATGTTGTGGGCGGGGTTTGGGTTGTTATCCAGGCTAGGGAAAATGTTAGTGTTCTTATCATTCTGGAAGCAAAATAACATGCTGTACTGGTGACAATTAAATGACCTTTAAGCATCTTTTTTTGTTTGTTTTTTACCTGTAAACAAAAGTAGAAAAAGAGACAAAGTAGGCTGATGAACTTTGAAGGGAGGCTTTAATTCTGGGGGTGGAAGATGCTTTTATTTCTCTCTCTCCCTTGAAATGAAAATAAGAGTAGAGCGTTCAGAATTAAATCAGTTTCTAATATATATATTAAACTAAACATATTATAAATTAATTTAATATATATACACATTTAATTGAATATATTAGAGCTGCACGATTCTGGATAAATTGAGAATCCTGAGAAAATGGAGATTACGATTCTCCGAAAAAAATCTTGTTTCTCAGATAAATGTATTTCGCCTACAGATATTTAGATGTTTTTTGTTTGTTTGTTTACTAGAAAACAGTAAATGCATTGGATTTGATTGGACTACAGATACATCTAATGTGCGATCAATGAATGCAGAAGCATTTGTACCTTTTCAGAATTAAGTAGACTGATTATTGTAAGTACAAAAATAGTGTCTGTCGTCTTAAGAAGTGTAGAAACCCGTCATCTCTGTGCTAGTTGCACACAGCAGTGCCCAATTAAGTGCCAGAGTCTGCATACTATTCTTCGTGAATGCTTCATTTATACTCCACGTTTCTTTCGCTGTGCCACTCCAATATTTTTTTTCCTGTCTCTCAGGGCTTTTGATTGTCTGGCTAGGCGGTGTTTACAAATACTGATATTGTCAGAGTCCTCGAGTGATTTGGGGCCCGTGCATACGCCAAAGCAAATTAACCAAAAACAGAAGGATGAAAGCCTCACGGAACATCAAGAGACTGCTGATTTTTTCCCAAACTATGTGCTGACCAGGGCAAAGATGATAAGTAGCAGGGTAGATGCCGTAATGCTAAGTAATAAAACATCACAGAACATATGCTGCAGGCTACAGAACTTCCATTTCCCAGTGGGAAGTCGATGAAGGAGTTCTCTCTGGCCAAGGAAGAGGTTTCAGATTGTGTGTGCCTGCGGGGCTGTGTGGTTTGGCATGAGGCAGTGGGTTTGGATAACGATGGGATGCCAGCCGTAGGGTTGGCAAAAGCAAACTGTAAATGCTTGTCTAATTGCTAGCATACATTCGAGCCTAGCAGTACATCTCGTGCAATTACAAAGCGGAACGCCCGCCGTGACAAGGGACCCGACCCATCACAACATTACATTTGTTAAAAAATTGTTTTTTCAAAGTTGTAAATAAAAATTCAATTTCAGTGTTTCTACTTCATGTTTAATGTGTTTCATGTCCATTCATCCACCCATCCACAACAGTTATTTCCCCACCAGACTGACACTTTCTAAATGACAGAAATCTACAAAGACGAACAGAAAATCAGAAGTGAAAAGTTTAAAAAGTAAGCAGTTTCAGATAGTTTTAAGTTGCACACCCAAGATGTATGGCACCCCGCCGCTCCTGTTTATTACATCAAACAAATGGAAAATATTATGCGCCAAAGTCTTAAACTTTCAAAGTATTTATGACGAATAATCATCAGACGTCTCAAAAGACAGCTTTTCTGTCAGTCGGAGCGGGGCAAAAAAGTGGTAGGGAAAAATATCCCCCCATTAAGCTTTCCCTGTCTGTTAAGCTTCAATTATGTCGCTTATTCCAGTGACTCACCCGCCACATGACTATTTGCACTGGGGAAATTAAATGGCTCTTTCAGAATTCTGCACTTTGCTTCACACACTGTGTAAGTTCCAGTTGTTTTGAAGATGATATATTCATCTCGTTCTTTTCTCCCCATTACTTCAATTTCTTTTATGAGAATGAAGAGTTAATGGCGCATGTGGTCTGTCAGATGAAACTCCATTCAACCTTCAGTCAGTCTTTCGCATGTCTTGTGTTTTTGTGTTGAGCTGAAAAATAACAGCACACAGGTTTAAAACAACATGACGAAAAAATAACTGAATCGTCCTGGTTTTTCTGGTTAATTGTTACTTTTAACATTAGTGTTACACAAGATATTAAAAGGTGCTTCCAGAACAAAAAGAGAGAAAGAAAACCTGTTGAGTTTATTCAATTAACAATTTTTCTGTAAAGAGCCAAATGAGGTGCGACAGTGCCTCAACTTCAAACAGCATCTACCTGTAAATAATGGCATGAGTATATTTAAAACAAAACAAATAAAAAATGTCTGAAAATAATTAATCAGGGATAATTAATGAAGCTGTCTGTTTTTGAAGTCGGTGTCAGGGAACAGGGAAGGCACATGTATCATCAGTGCATACTCATTAGAGTAAATCAAGTTTTCCTCTCATTTCCTCATGCCCTTTCTTTCTTTTTTTCTTCTTCTAATTCTCAGTTTATCCCTTTAAGCCACGTCTCGGGCTCCAACAGGTAGTGGGGTCCCTAATAGGCTCATTAGCAGTCTGGGCTGCAGCAGGAGGGATGTCCAGGGTGGGTCTCTCTCAGAGGACACCACAGCTGTCCCGCAGGGAGAGAGAGAGAGCTTTAATTAGATGTCACACTGCATACTCTCGCACTACTCTCTGCTATAGGCTGACACTCGAAACAACTGACATGTCTGCTCAGGTGCACCAAGCCATGTATGAATTCGAATATTTCATTTCTGTGATAATGTAGCTGGGTAAACAGGTTTTATTTTGCAATAAATAATGTAACTACACTATATAAATGGGGCTCAAACAATAAAGAAATGGAAAAAAAAACATTTGAACGTCATCTCCGTCATGTTTCTAAAAACATGTTAAATATGTAAAAAGTATAATTATTTTTATTACTAATAATTCATAACTATCATTATAATTTTAGGAAGTCATCACATGCTCATCTAATAGTTGTATTCAAGTCACTGTATGTGTGCATTGAATTTGTATTGTATTTTTGAAGAAATTAATAGACAAAAAAGTGACCAATTGTGCCTCACATTACTGACTAAATAAAATGTTTTAGATTTTACACTACAGTTCAAAAATTTTTAAATTTTTTTATTTTTATTTTTTCTATTTTACTATATTTTAATGTAATTTTTTTTTTTTTTTTTTTTTTAGTTTATTTAGATAGGGACAGATACAGATAACATAGATACACTTTGACAGTGATCTGATGCATGTATCAATGTTTTTAGCCAAAGCTAATTTACAACATTAGTCCCTAGAATTTATTCCTGTGATGGCTGAATTTTCACATGATCCTTCAGAAATCATACTGTTCAAAAGTCTGGGATTTGGATTTTTTTTTTTTTTTTTTTTTGGTGATGGGAAGTGTCTCCATACTTTTATCCTACTTTCATAATGACTTATCCATAACATTTAGTAAATTTGAAGGAACTCACATTTTAAGTCAGTCCTTTCTAATTGTGAGCTAAATTTTAATTTAAAAATAATTTCAAGGAGCTTTTTCATACGACCACATCAAGCTCCAAAAAAGCCACAAAAATGCACAATAAAATCATTATTATTGTTTTAATTATTAATAATTTTATTAAAAATAAATGTATAATAATTTATATTAATATATAAAATATTTATAAATATTCAGAAGGCACAGAATATTGCATGCAAATTATATTTTTGGTGTTTTATTTTTATTTTTTTTTTTTTTTAGTTTTATAGATAAACTATAAACTGTAAAAACTGTTTTGTTAATATTATTCAAAATTATTCTTTTGTGT